CAGTGAGTCACGTTTTTGTGCAGCAAACCAAGTTCCCATCCCCCATACCAAACAACTGAATCCAAAGTAACCCTAATCCCACTCTAAAACCTATGTAAACGGTTTCCCTCACCTCCTAAGAAAAATGGGATACAACATACCAAAAAAAAAAAAAAGAATAAAATCTCCACAAATCATGGCAGTGTATATTCGTCCAGCAACACCCCCAAACCATTCAAATCAGGACTACCCAGTAACAAATTATGCCGCAAACAGACCTGGCAAACAAAGAGAAAACCTGTGGGACCAAATAGATCACAAGATACTCAAATGGGACTTTCCAATAATTTTCCCAAAATAAAATTGATTTTACAGTTTTTATTATTTTGTTTCGAAAAGTATGAAATTGAAAATACGACCAAACTTAGGTGATTAGGTAATTCTGCCAAATGCATATGAATATGTTAATGGGATTTGGGGGAGTTTGAAGATATAGTTAGGAGGGAGGAGGATCCCCTCCGGTCCATATTTTGAATTGGAGAGTGTTGTTTAGGCTTATGAGGCCCATCACGGGTCTCAATTTAATAATATGAACTGTTCATTTTGTTGTGTATTTTATTCACAAACAAAAAAATTAAATTGATCTGATAACTGTACTGCATTTTTCGCACAAAAAAATGAAGATAATTATGTTTTTAAAAATAAATTATACATTTTTTTATGACAAATGCAGTAAATTAAACAAGTTACAATTATCGAATCAATCTTCTTCTTTTTTGGTGATGAAATACAGAAAGTGTCTGACAAAATAAACGATTCGAATCATTAAAACGGAACTCGTGATGAGCCCTATGGACCCAAACAGTACCCTCCAATTCAAAATATAAACTGGAGGGATCCTCCTTAATTATAGTAAAATCTTGATGGCAAATATTTTGTTAAAAATTCAATGCCTAATTAATTCAGGCTAGTTTGACAATTGATAACATTTTTTTTTTTTAAATAAACCTTTTCTAAAGTCTTTCCACAAAAAAAATAATAATTCACTTTTAGGTCCTATTGGATTAGAAGTCTTAAATAAACAAATAATATTTTGCAAAATGTCTACTAAAGAAAAAATAATTTTGCAGAGATCTATTTATAAATCTCATTTAAAGGATTTATAGTATAATAAGTGCACAAAATATTCTTATATTCCACCTAATCTCATACATTTGAACAAATATTCCAATAGGTCTTTTTTTTCATATTAGAAGTATTATGTAGACTATTTTGCCTTTGTAATTTTTTTTTATTATATATATATATAATACCATACATCTAAGAGAGAAAATTATTATTAGATATATTTCATTTATGATATATGTATAATGTATATAAATATAGAAGATTATTATTCTTAATATTTTCTTTGCCTAAATGTAAGGAATTCTCTTGATCAAAGATCTTCATTCACCATTATTTTACAATGTCATGTCATGGAAGAACATTTGGAAAAGAAACTTTGTACGTGTAGACTGATGATAGAAATGATGAAGGACTCGCAGCAGAGATGATAGTAAACCGGAGATAAACAATCATTTTTTTTTTCCACTGTTATACATAAATCATAATCTCTACGTCGGTTTGTATAGTCATCGATATTGTGTAATTTATTCACCAATATTATGCCAGAGTTGATTGTATGTAGATTTTTCTATAAAAAAATGTCATTATATATGAACTATTTGATGATTTTTTATATATTGTTTGATGATTTGTTATATATTGTTTTTTACTCTACTTGTTAGTTGAGTAATCATTTTTATTGTTATTGAACAATCAAAATAGTCTTAAGAATGGAGAATTGTTGTTATTTTTTTATTATGTATTAATTTAAAAATATAAACAAGTGCAGAAAGTTGAAATGGTGATTTGGTCATATTATACTAAATAGAACCTAATGAAATATTAATATATATATATATATATATGGATTAGATGAAACATAACTCTTAAGAATGAAATTTACTAACAAAAGCTCCCATAATTTTTTATTTTATTTAAAGATTTTGGGGTCTTTGATGGACTTTTGTTGGAATTTTTCAAAGAAAAAAATATGTTTATTTTTAAGATCTTTCTAGACTTAGAAGGCTGAAAAATAAAAAATAAAAATAAAAATAAAAATAAAAGCACAATTAAATGTTGAAACAAATACTTTGCAAATAGATAAGTGTGATTATTTGACACTCTTAAAGCATTGTACGGCACCACTTAACACTTTATATTTAACATTTGTTAAATAACTCTCCAAAATCCCAATAAAAGTATTAGTCCCACAATTTTAATTAATAAATATTAGATTGAGGCACTACTTGGATTTGTTCCATGGTAATTTTTCCACACATCGACGTGAGAGAATGATGTACAAATTTTTTTGATGACGTGAATTTTTGTACTCTTTTTATTTTCAACCAAATCATCCATGAAATTCTATTTATAAATTATTTTGAGCAAATTACATACAGGTGAGCGAATAGGAGGGAAAAAATCATAGACACATAAGGAGTGCAAATGTATCTATAGTGGAGTGCAAATAAAAGGCTATGAGGTGTAAGTGTCACTTGCACCTCTCTCTATGTTTTGATAATTTTTTTTCCCTTATCCCACTTGCATGTAGTTTCCCTAATTATTTTTCCAATCAAAAATAAGTTTTCTTTGATTTAGTTAGGCTCGTCTAGAATAAATTTTTTTAACTTGGTTAAAATGTTTCGTTTGAGATAAATTTTTGACTTTTTTTTGTATAGATGTGATTGTTGTGAGAGAAAAAATAAAATAATTCAGTGTGTTTGGTTTGAGTTTTCTGGATTAAGTTTTTTGAAAACTAAGTTTTTTGGTTTTCGTATTCTTTTGTTTTTAGTGAATATTTTTTAAATTTTAAACATTTTTTTACTTTTTTAGATGCACCTTAGTTAGATGTATCTAAAAAGTAAAAAATATTTTAAAAAATTAATAAATACATAAAATACAAAAAATGTACCGAATTCTTGTATTTTTTTTTTGTATTTTTGGTATTTAGTGAATTTTTTAAAGATTTTTTTTATAATTTTTTTACTTTTTAGGTGTATTTATGTTAAGTGTATCTAAAAAGTAAAAAAATTGCTAAAATATTTTAAAAATTCAGTAAAAACAAAAAAACACAAAAAATAAGAATGTAGAATTTTCTGAAAAGTGTTTTCTGAAAAATGAAAACAAGCAAGCTATTGTTTGAATATAACGTTTTGTCTTGTTTTAACTTTTTAACCTATTTTATCTTTTTGTTGGCTAAATTAACCCAACTAACATGCCAAATAAAGCTTTAAATAGCGGTATGGGCTAGACAATAGAGCAATCTTGGTCAGTATTATATTTACAACCCTTGTAACACTACCGATCATAAGATTTTGAATGTTAATTCTATAATCAGTACCGTATAATAAAACTTTACCAACTGCATTGTAGAAATTTGAGTAAAAGTCTCACGACATAATTTTAGTGGTTAAACCAAAATTTACTATTTTTTCATATATAAAATTTTTTGAAATCAATTTTTCACGCCTTGAGACATGAGAAATGCAGGCCTCATTTTTTAAAATAATTTTGCCCAATTTTTTTTTTTTTTTTGAAATCATTCACAACAACATCATTTCTATGAAGTATATAGACCTCGCAAGCATCTTTCTTTGGTACTGGTAACGTTTTATATTTTGAATGTCACAGGTCTCATTTGTCAAAAAGCCACCATTGTCTTCATCTTGTGTGTAGAGAAGGCGCAATTCATTTTTCTCTATTTAGAATAAAATAAAACAAAATACACAATAAAATTTCGGTGCGATGAAAGATTATACCATCCTCTTTTCCACCCACCATAGAGTAGATACAATAATTATTTCTTGATGTACTCAAGAAAAAAGTATCCTGAGAGGGTGTAATTATTGAATATAACAGTGATATCACATGACAATATCACCATCTAACGAATATTGTTGATTTGCGATAGAAATTATAATATTATTGGGTTAGTGGGAGCCACGAGTTGACTACCTAATACATTTACAACTTTTTATTGACCGGTAACACCATGTAAGATACCGTTACTATTTTTTTCCTAGGAGGAGGAATCTCCTTCCATCAGTTGGTTCTATACTAATATAATGAGCCCTTGAAGTCAATTCATAGTTGCTAACTTGCTACATAACCATATCAAGTGAGAAACCCATACTACAAAAGGAAAAATCACAATTTTTCAGCGAAAGACCAGGCCCAAGCCCACAACCCAAACCCACAACCACCAAACTTGCTGATTCAGCCAAGTTCAGATGCTGTCTTACTCATTGTCCATGTTTGAGCAACACTCATTTGATGCGGATTTAAAATTATCACTATAAAAGTACAAATGTATATTTTAGAGTACAAATCCTTAAAACTTTTAATTATTTCAAATTATTAGGGATGCGGTCCCTCTTTCGCACCCCTAAATCCATCATTGTCCCTAAACTTATTTACAGAAAAGAAATATATATATATATATATATATATCAAGCTATAAGTTGAAATTCTGAACAGTAGTGTGTCCAAAGTGGGACCAACCTGGACAATGAATTGAACAAAAACAAGCTTGCATGTACTTGTCCAGAGCTGAGCTGTGTCCTTCCAATTTCAATTAATATTCTACTTCCCATTTTGAATAATAATGTATCCATGTAGCTATCTCCCCAACCCAACCAGCTTCAAAGCATTGGGTGTCTGTGTGGAGCTCTCTCTCTCTCTCTCTCTCTCTCTCTGGTGGTTGTGGTCCCCTAACCCTTCAGTAACATCCAAAGCTTCAATTACTGCTACAAATGGGGTTGGCCTTGCTTTCTTCCAAAAGAAATGATTATGAGATTGGATGTGAATCTCTGCAACCTTGGCTTCAAAGGGAAATACCTCATCTGTTTTGCTGCTACCCGTTTACCAGATTCCCTTTCATCATTTCCAACACCACCATTTTGTTTCCATCCAACTCAAAATTTATGTATATTTAGATATGTGAAATGAAATGTCTAAATACATACATGGTCCTTAAACCAAGTGTAGAATGTTTCGAAATGCTCAGATTGAATTTGATGATCGCTTGCACGTGGCATTTTGCTCTTAATGACTTCAAGGTGTTTGCTGTGTAAATTGGAAGAGAATAGTAAATATCATATAGATTTCACTTTAGAATTTTACAATACTAGGAAAGTGATAAATTACCTTATGAACGGTGCAACTGAACTTGTGTTGAACAACACATATCGGTGACACTGTTGTAATTCATTATCATTAAGATAAAATGTTGTACTTTCGCCTACAGCTCGACCCATGTTGTTATCACCTTCATTGTTTCTCCTCGGTCGATTAGATTTGGTTTCCACATCAATGAGATAGTGAGAACAAAAGTTCATGCATTCTTCCATCAAATACCCCTTAGCTATTGAGCCCTCCGGATGAGCTCGATTACGCACATATTGTTTCAATGTAAGAAGAAACCTTTCAATCGGGTGCATCCATCGAAACTGTATTGCTCCAGCGATCAAAGCTTCATCAGCAAGATGTATAGGCAAGTGTTCCATTGTGAATTGCGCAGGAGGTACATAAACTTTATTGAACCCTCTTGACTGCAAGTGCAATGGTTTTCTGATATTCATTTCTTGCAAATCACGTCGAGCATTCACATTATCTTTGGATTTTTCTCCAACTCCTAGTATTGTCCACAATATATTATCGCAGACATTTTTCTCTATGTGCATCACATCGAGATTGTGTCTTATTAAGTTGTGCTCCCAATACGGCAATTCATAGAATATACTTTTTTTTCTTCCAATTATGGCTTTTTCTTCCATTATTTTCCCTCTCTTCTTGTCTCCTGAACATTTCCTTCAGGTCATTCCTCTTGTACTGACTAAGGACACCTTCTGATTCCAACTGATGCAACATCTCAGATCTAGATAAAATTTGAGGTTTTAGTCTCCATTCTCAACTACCATCAAATGATACTTTATCCTTTCGAAATTTATGATTAACTGGTAAGAAACGACGATGACTTATGTATGAATACTTCCTACCATGCTTCAACCAATATGATTGAGTTTTCACATTGCAGCAAGGACAAGCATATTCACCTTTCGTACTCCATCCTGATAAGTTGGCATAGGCAGGAAAGTCACTAATTGTCCATAACAAAGCTGCATGCAATTGAAACATTTCATTGGTTGATGCATCAAATGTTTGTTCACCTTCATCCCATAATTCCTTCAACTCCTCAATCAATGGTTGCAAATACACATCGATCTTATCGCCAGGTCCTTTTGGCCCATCAATCAGCACAGACAAAATCAGATTTGGTTGTTTTATGCACATCCATGGTGGTAAATTATACGGAATCAACACAATTGGCCAAGTGCTATGAACTATGTTCATTGATCTAAATGGGTTGAATCCATATGTAGCTAACCCAAGACGTACATTACGACTATTACTAGCAAAACAAGTGTTTCGCCGATCAAAGTCCTTCCATGCGAGGGAGTCAGCAGGATGCCTTAACACACCATCATCAACTCGTTCTTCCGCATGCCATCTCATGAGCTTTGCCGTTTTCGATGACATAAACAATCTCTGCAACCTTGGCTTCAAAGGGAAATACCTCATCTGTTTTGCTGCTACCCATTTACCAGATTCCCTTTCATCATTTCCAGCACCACCATTTTGTTTCCATCTAAAACTACTGCATATAACACATTTATCAAGCTTTGTACCCTCTTTTCTGAACAACATACAACTATTGGGGCAAGCATCAAAAGTTTCATATGTGAAACCCAAATCTGTAGTAACCTTCTGAGCTTGATAATATGAACTTGGAAGTTTTGTGCCCGTAGGAAAAGCCTCATTCAAAAGCTCAAGTAACATGCCAACGGGCTTGTCAGTTTATTGATTGAGGACTTTCATATGCAAAATTCGAGCAATGAATAATAGTGAAGTAAATTTGTGACATCCTGGGTACAAATCAGTTTGTGCATTTTTCAAATGTTTAAAATATTTCAAAGTTTCGTCATTTGCCCCTATCCGAACCAGATCATCTTCCTCTACATGGCTTGGATCACTTGCCCCTGCTTGGTCTGGATCACTTGCAGTTGGTTCATCATTCTCAACACCCATATGTGGAATTCCCAGGGCCTCTTGTACCATCCCAACCACATCATCTCTAGTCACTGAATCCGCCATTAATGTTTGGTTTTCTTGGTTACCATGTAATTGGACATAGGATTCCCCATGATGAATCCAATTTTTGTACTTTTTTACGAACCCATTGGAAATAAGATGCTCCCTTACAACCTCTCGTGAAAAATTGTATCGATTACTACAAAATCGACATGGACAACTAATCGATAAACTTTCATCTCTATTGTTGTATGCAAATCTCAAGAAATTATCAATCCCATTCACGTAATCAATTGACATCCGATTTGGCAAATCAATCCAATTCTTGTCCATCTTTCTATTTCTTTAACTGTTTTTGTACACATCCATAAAAAGAATGAGTTTGCAAAGTATCACAATAACAATTGCATATTATAGTTCAAAAAGTACACCAAATAAAACCAATGGCCCATGCACACTTTTAATTCAATAATTTAGCCAACAACAAAAAACTACAAGTAGATCACACATTTTTCAACAACAAAAAACTACTGATAATAATTCGGATTTGAGTTACAGGAAAATTCAATGATAAATTACTGCACAGCCAATATTTTAAGTTTGATTTCAGCTTTTGATCCATAAAACTTGTTACTTTTTATGCCAATATTTTAAGTTTGATTTCAGAAAAAATAAGTAGAAACATGTCGTATGGCATAGTTTAACAAAATAAATGATGGTTTAGACTTCTAGTCTGTGATGAAGGATGGATACTGATAAGGAAACAGATGAAGGATACAACACAATCCAAATACTAAAATAAGACAAAACCTAAAATAAAAATAAAAAATAATAATATATATATAAGTACAGCCAATTAATGTTAAAGAGAAAAAAAAAATAGACGCAAAAAGTCATATTTCTAGTAGTGTAATCAATAGACAAATCTTACAGAAAAAGATGTGAGGTTCCACTTGAGATACCCATATTCATCAATGAATAAAAACTATTATTTACAAATTACCGATAAAATTGGGAAACCAAATTACCCTTTTCAGTAGATCCTACAAAAATTTCATTTCAATATATAGTCTCACAGAGAAACTGAGATAAGAGAGAGAGAGAGAGAGAGCAATTCAGAGTACACTTGATTTCTCGGATCATTGCAAAGAAAGTTGAATCGATGAAGATGTGTTTAGGCTTACCGATTATGACATCTTCAACAATTGCGGACTTGAGAAAGTTGAATCGATCGGCAGATTCGAGCGAGAGATTCGAGCGACAAATTCGAGCGAGAGAGGAAGTGAGATTCGAGCGCGAGTCGAGCGAGAGATAGATTTTGAGAGGGAGAGAAAGAGAGAGCTCAGATTTGGGAAATAAGGGAAAAAAATGGGAGGGATTGAGAGGGACAGAAAGAGAGAGTCGAGTTTTACCGATTTTTATTTGTTTTTTATTTTTTGAAGAACACGATTGGGTCAAGAAAATGAGATGATAAAAAAAGATTTTGATGTCTAGAAATGATTTTTTGCGACGGTTAAATAATCAGTCGCAAAAAAATAGACGCAAAAAGTTATATGACTCAAATGGATAAACAATACGTAACAAAAAAAAGCTTGATATGTTTAATCTTTGCACGAATCAAGGCATTCAGTTAAACACTATATAATAACCATACGATTATCAAAATTTAACTAAATCTAATATTATGTTTATGTGTTTTTAAGATTTGTCGACTTCACGAAACTACTTATGTTGAGAGAACTTGGGATGAAAAATATATATACTATACATTATTTTCATTGGTATTGAGGCACCCCTGACTGGGAATGCTCCAAAAGCACCGTGCATACCCTTTATGCATATGCATGTTACTTGCTTTCTAGGTAAATGATGAATCCTATCTTAGCTTGAGTGGTATCTCCTGTCACCTCCAAAGCAAGATGGACAGGGTTCAAGTTCTGATAGGACACATGTCTTACTCATTTACTAGATAAATCAATATATAATCATGCATACCCTTTATACATATCACTTTGTTCAGATCTTGCCATATCTATTTCTATCCAAAGACTCCTACTGCAATTACTTGCATATTACTGACTTTCACAATAACAATATCCTGAAAAGTAACCCACAGAACCATGACATGGAGAATATGTGAATGCTAGGATAATCAACCAATCTAAGTAACACTAGCAATCAATCCCTTGCTTGAATTCGGATGTTCCAACAAACATGCACATATTAACACAATAACATGTTCAAAGAGGTGAAAAAAAAATTACTTCAAGTGAAATGAAAAAAAAATTCTAGAATATGTTTTCTTTTTTAGAAATGAAATATGTGGAAGTGCATATTATGTGGCACCAGAAGTCCTCCACAGATCTTATAGACTATAGGAGCACACTGTAAAATATATTAAGAACAGAGCATGTTATACAAGTGAGACAGATAGATATGTAAGGAGAAAAATGTTCAAACAAGGTTGCAACAATTTTACTTGGACTAACGAACTTTGCTTGAAAAATACTGTAAAATATAGTTGAGAAAAGCGAGATATTCTTTGATGCAAGTGCTACACGCTAACCTGTTGATGAATTCGCTTCTTCAGCTGAATAATTTCTAGATTAATAGCATCATCCTCTCTGAGATATAACAAACCAAAGATAATGTGAATGCTCTCTGATATTCATTTGTTGATTCATTTCTCTCAAATTAATAACAGATGAGGAAGGATTTATTCAAACCAAAGCTTGTTTCCAGAATATGCCTACCTGGTGAAAAAATCAATACGAATGAATGATTCGAATTACAGTGAGTTCAGATGAAGAAGTTGAATACGAATTACAGTGAGTTCAGTGAGTTCAAGTGATCGAAGTAGAGAGATGAATAAGTTGAAATACGAATGAATGATTCGAAGAGACTCACTGAGACGAGAGAGAGAGAGAGATACCGTTGGAGATCTCTTCTTTAGACGACCATGGTGATCTACAGTGTGAAATCGAGAGAGGAATCTTGATCTAACAATGAACCTGGTTACTCAGACACGGTCGAGTGATTTGGGGAAAATGAGAGTCTAGGGCAGGATATAAATCAAAGATCGAGCGATTTGGGGAAAATGAGAGCCTAGGGCAAGATAGAAATCAAAGATCGAACAATTTGGAAAATATAAATTGGGCTGAGTCCCAATGGTGGGCTCGCAAGTTTTTGTTTGAAAATATAAGTCCCAATAGTTGCTTCGCCTGGTTTGCCGTTGTAAATAATATTTTTTGCGACGGTCAAATAATCAGTCGCAAAAAACAGACGCAAAAAGTTGTTTTTCTAGTAGTGCCATTTTGAATAATAATGTATCCATGTAGCCATCTCCCCAACCCAACCAGCTTCAAAGCATTGGGTGTCGGTGTGGAGCTCTCTCTCTCTCTCTCTCTCTCTCTCTCTCTCTCTCTCTCTCTGGTGGTTGTGGTCCCCTAACCCTTCAGTAACATCCAAAGCTTCAATTACTGCTACAAATGGGGTTGGCCTTGCTTTCTTCCAAAACAAGTCAATTTTTGTATGCTTCCATCCCAAAGTTCCAAAACTACTATCTACTCATTCACAAAGAGGCATCAGCAACTGACAAGAACGAATCAAATCAACCTTGAAAAATGGCAAACATGTACGATTTAAATGTCTTCCAATCATTCATCGCAGCAATGCATCGATACTCCATGTAGCGTGGACTGTGTTGAGTAGGCTTATTTGGGGGTATGGAATTGGATTTCATGCATGGAACCAATATTAATGCCTTTTCTTAGCTTTCTCCAGAAAGTAAGGTATTGTGTCCACAGAATTTGTTCGTTGGTGGCCACTGAATCCATGAACTACTGACAAAGTCTTGCCCAAACTGTTTTGGGGTCACTGACCCAAATCAGGCAACGTAAGCAACTTTACTATCCAAATGGGAATGGTATTCAGGGCAATATATGCTTTTAGCATCAACTATTATTCTTTCTTCTTTTTTCTTTTTTAATAACAACACTTTTTTTAAGAAACAACAAAAACTTGTAATCAAAATTCAAAACCTGTTTCCACAAAATAAAAATAAAAACAATGGGTGTTTTTGAACTTGTCATTATTTTGGTGTCTGAAACATGAAAAATGAACAACAAACATAAAAAACACAAACCAAACAAGCCCTAAGTTCCTATAACATTGATTTGGTAATAAGTCCAAGAATTACCCACCAAAGAAAATATCAACTTGAGGAGTAGATCCAAGGCAACTTCATTTCATAAGAGAACATTTTCAGAGCTGAAATTGCTTGAGCCACCACCTGATTTCAAACCCCTCCGAAGTTGCTACCCATAATGGAATATAATCTTAGAGCCTGAGATTAGTTTAAACATGAGTGTAAATGGAAGAAATGTTAAACAATATAGGGTTTCCAAAACAGTAAATGAAAACAAGCATGAAGCAAATAAAAGAACAAGAAAAAAGAACCACCAACCGTAGTAGATAAACAAACTACTTTATATATAATTCTGAAACATATATCTATAAACAGCATACAAATATATAACACAAGGGATGTTTTCCCATCCATCTCATATAATTAGTTATATAATGTTAGCTAGCACCGACCTCAGATTGATTGGCCACCAAACATTTCCCCCACACATTTGTTTTGCTATCTTCTGTCATCAACAGTCAGACAGGTGGGTAATTTTGAATTGGTGGATCTGCTAAACTTAACGGCTTTGCCGGCCTATATAACTAGTTACATAACACCATATCATTCAAGTTCCAAAAACCCAAGTGGCAAAAGAAACAGAGCCTCCCAATCCAGCTACATGTTGAACCGCTTGCCTTCTTCAACAAACAACCAAACCCAGCCCAGCCATCTCTCACCGAAGATGAACCAGACCCAATGGAGCAGAATAACAGTAACACTAACACAGCCAACTAAACAGTTAAGCAGTAGTACTAATTAATCTTACAAACAGCAAACAAAGCCCTTCTGATGAAGATAACCCACGAGGCGTAATGTCAAGCTTCTTAAGTATTGCTGCCCTGTCAGTAAGTAACATTTATTGACTGTTCAGGATTAACAAAATTACGTATCTCATCCATAACAATGTAGAAGTGTTCATTGTTAGGTAACAAGTAGAACCCAATAGTTGCTTGTTCCAAATATAGCAGCTTCACGTCTTGGCCGTTCCTCCTTAGCCCCTCAGCATAACCCAATTGCCAGTCCTGAATAAGATCTAAACCAGCCACCACAACAAGACTCTTCGGGAACTTGATGACTTCAAGGCTTATACCATTGGGACCAAATGGATTACATGCTGGATGGTCCCTGTCTTCTCCTTCAGGAAGAAATGCTCTCCAGTACCAGTCGCGTTCTTGAATTTTGACAAAATATTTTCCATCTAATCGTTTCTCCGATTCAGTTCTTTTCTGCCCACTAAACAATGGGTTGAGAAGTATATTCCCCATTAATTCAATGCCTGATTCTATGGATCTTACAGCAACATTGTGAACAATATTACCACCAGAACTATCACCAGCCAAGTAAATATGAACTTTTGAATCCTTTCGACTTTGAAGCCATGGCTTTGAACTAACCCACTTAACAGCAGCCCAGCCATCACCATAGGCACAAGGGTAACGGTTTTCAGGTGCTCGTCGATAATTCACTGATACCACAACAGCCTTACAAATGCCCACTAGGCGGCGACAAAGAGTGTCGTAAATGGCACTATCTGAAGAGGAGTGCACAAAGCTCCCACCATGGAAGAAAATTATGACCGGAACAGTATCAGAGCTCAAGGGCTTTTCGAGTTCCATGATACTAGGCAGACCTTCAGTTTCAGCTTGCCGACAAACTCGAATAAGGAGGCTGGTTTCACGGTCAATAAGAACGTCAAAAGAGAAAACCCCATTCCTGCACTCCAAAGCTGAAGCAGCAGTAAAACAGAGGAGAGCATGCCTTAAGTGCCTGAATGGTCAACAACCCAAGAGGATAAAAGACTATTAATACGTAAAGAACACCTACAGAATGTGAAATAGCAATTTGCTCAAGAGAATTTCCACTTTCTTGATTGCCAACATGGTTCTTCACTTCCAAATTTTGATGTGGAAGTCACTGAACTTGTCCAAGTTCATAATTATAAGGTCACTGTTCTTCGATTCTAAACAACAGCCCAACAAAGCATCAGAAAATTACAGAGACAAAGAGCATATCAGTCTATGAAAATTGCAAGGACCCTTTTAACTAATGCATGGTGATTTTCTTTGCACACAAACAGATTCCAAATCCACTTACAATTACAACTTCCCTAGTATAAAATTCAGTATGGAAAACATATGTGAAACAATTGTAGAAAACGAGACTAATAATAACAAAGTAAATAAATCTCTTAGCCTCCAAAAAATCAATCTGTAGGCAAGTTTTGCATTGCTAACCCTGAAGAAACCCGTATGAATACGCTCAGCCCAGTGTCCAGAAATGACCCCCAAGTACATGACCGTACTTGACCAGAGCGTGATCAGTGGCTCTGTGGTTTAGTTAACTGGTCCACATATCCGCAGAGGATCGTTCTCAGCTGGTTTGAACTGGCTGCGATGGTCAAGTAGTTGTCTGACAGATTCAATCTCCCCTCCAATTTTTTTGCAATTTTGGGTTGGGGGTGCTTTTCATTCAACAAGAAACATTAGTTTGATTTCTTTTCTACTCTTTTTGTGGAGGTTTTTTCCCCTCAATATTCTAAAAAAATGAAACTATTTATGAAAATAATTCTTTTAAAACTATTTATCAAACTAATCACTTTTATAAAATTGCAATTTAAACTTGAAATTGAATCTTTAACTTGTAATTTCATGTTGATATGTCCCTTAGTGATTACTGACATGTTCCATTTCTCCTTAGTCAACATGAAATCATTGGTTGAAGACATGTTAAAAATCTAATTTTAAAGTGAAATTGCAGGTTGAAGTTTCGATTTCATAAAACTGGTTAGTTTGATGAATAGTTTCAAAAGTATAATACTTTCATAAATAGTTTAATTTTTTAGAATATTCAGAAAAGTCCCTTTTTTTGTGTAATTTTTTAAACATTGCCCCAGTTTTTATCCTTTTATCTGATATACAGAATGGATGTAACGCCCCCCCCCAAAAAAAAAAATCATAAATACATCCACAAACACATATAAATGACAGTATAAATCAGAGTCTTAGTCCTTTCATTACATAAAGTAAAGGAATACAAAGAGTTTAACGTAAATAAATGCCCTATTGGCTTACACCTTTCCAAGCCTTGACTTGGTTACAACAAAATGAGCTTCGCTCAATACAAATTTAGCCCTAAGCTATACAAAAATAAAACAAAACAAGAAACTCTTGCTTTCCAAAGTTCCCTCTCATGCTATTGCCATGGTAGAGGCATGCCATCATTACCTGAAAATATTATTCCCAAATAGGGTGAGTCATAGCCCAATAGAAATCATCTAACACAGTATATGAAATTTAGCAAAAGCATAAGTACACTACTCATATACAACGTCAGTGATAAAGACATCTACATATTATATAGTTATAAGATACCAAACTCAATTCTTAAGTCATTCCACTTAAATTCATTTCATTACATGAGCCAATTTCATCGTTTCTCAACCACCCAAATGAGACTACAACTCATTAGTTTTATAATCACATCATCAACATATAAGCATTTCAAACTTTTCTTTCACGGATATTTCGTCCGTGGGCAGCTGTCAAATGGGACTCATGTAAACGTAGGCTATACAAGTACTATTATTGCCATTTTACGGATATTTCGTTCGTGGGCTAGACACTCATGTATAATTTCGGGACTTTCACCCAAGACACTCCGTCCAACTTAATTATAATAGAGTTCATCCCTTTTCTCCTCCCAAACAATCATTCATACATATGCAATGTATTTAAACACAAAATCAAACAATAGAGCACATCCCTTTTCCACTCTCACGTAGTCATACATGTACAATGTATACAAGCATAGTCATATTCAATGACAAACAACAAGAAATTAGTTTCGATTCACCTAATCCTTATGCAATTTCTACAACAATCATAGTTATCCTCCACCGATAGCCCAATACAGTTATTTCTAAACAGATATTCAATCTCATAACAGAAAATTTATTCAAATTTCTAAAGAATGAGTTAATACATAACCAATCCCACCATTCCTATCAATACCCTCTCAATTTCACATTTTCAATGTCAATTTTAATTATTTATATAAAATAATAATGATAGTCCTTTTAGGGAAAAAATTCCTCTTTTTTAATTATCTACCCAAATATCATTCTCAACCATTTTGATCCACCATAATCTCATTTTCACAACTCATATTCATTTATTTCATGTTCAACAACAATCCCTATTTCCATATTATACCCAAACCCTAGGTTTGCTTACAACACTCTCAAATCACATCATTGTTACATAAGATACAAATAACTAAGCTAAATATCATATGAAGATGTAGAAAAGATTCCTACCTCAAAGGAAGAAGATGAGTCAAACAAGAGAAAAACTCTAAGAACGCCGAAACCCACTTCTATTTGGATCAAAATGTAGATCCTAAGATGCTCTACCTTTTTTTCAAGGGCATTAGGGTGAAAAGATCAATGGATCTAAATGAAATCTAAGAGAGAATGTGAGTTTTAGAAAGAGAAACTCAAGGACTTGGTTTTTGGAAAGTTTTAGAGAGAGAGAGAAATGAAAAAGTGATTCAAAACATCATCTTCACGAACTGTTATATACGTAGTTCGCTCGTGCGTGGAAAGTGGCGTTTGAGTGTCAGACACAAAGGCCCGCTCGAGCATAGAATACGCACTTCCAATATATTTGCAGACAAAGGACCCCGCTCGAGCGTGGGACTGAACGCTCAAGTGTCCGATGCACTCTCCCAATATTTGCAGACCTGCAAAAAGAAATATTGAGAGTTGACAAATCCCGCTCGAGCACAAGAATGGCCACTCGAACGGAGGAGCAAAATTTGTGAAGCCCGCTGGAGCGCAAGAATGCCCGCTCGAGAGCAAGAGCCAATATCTGGGCATCACAGGTTTGGAAAAACAAACAACCAACATGTTTCAAACGGACAATCATAACCCGATAACCAAAATTGAAGGGAGACAAGTGAAATAAGATATAAATAACCATTCTAAACCATACCAACCCAAATCTGGAATACAATAGATAACGGGTCAAAATTGGAATCGCTATAACTTCTCCCCTTAAGGAATTTTGTCCCCGACATTACGAATCAAGTTCAAAATCAACATTAGACCATTCACAACGATGTTATTCCCACAAGTTCATCACCATAACCCATCCTCCAGTCATCCGTCTCCATCGACTTGATACACAAGTCCCATATTGAAAGTACATTTTACAATTTTCAAGCATTTGAAATGTTTAAATCAAGATTCAAGTTTCCAAAGGTTTACATAGCATATACAATGCTTCCAAAAGTGATACAACATCCACAATATTCCGTATTCTCAAAACATATATGATGTTTATATTGAATTTATATTTTCAAAATGCCCATAACATATACAATGTTCTCATAATCTAATACACATGCAATGCTTATACTTTTCATCATCAAAATCAAAATCTCAATACATGATTAGATATCAACAAACAAGTTTGGATATTTCTCTCAGACTTCCAATTCACGCTCCCAAGTTGCGTCCTCGACCCCATGATGTTTCCACAGTACCTTTACTACGAGAATTGTCTTGCCTCGCAAGACTTGGTACCCTCTGTCTAAGACCCTCACCGATCTCTCCTCATACGAGGCATCCTGATATACCTCTAAGTTGGTCCAATCCAATACATGCGATGGATCTGACTCATACTTCCGAAGCATACTAATATGAAACACGTCATGAACCCCGAAAAGCTGTGGCGGTAATGCCAAACGGTAAGCAACCTCCCCAATCTGTTCAAGGATCTCAAAAGGGCCAATAAACCGGGGGGATAACTTCTCACTCTTCCCGAATCTCATCAAACCCCGTCTACGTCATATCTTCAAAAAGACATGGTCTCCCACCTCGAAAGACAAGGGTCTCCTCCTACGGTCGGCATAACTTTTCTAGTGACTCTGAACCATAACCAACCTCTTACGAATAAGCGTCACCTTCTCCATTGTTTCCCGAACTAACCCTAGGCCCAACAAAGGTGCATCACCCACCTCGGCCCAACACACC